AGCTTGTATACTTTACCATATTAGCCTCCATTATGTTTCCTCTTTTGAGGACACACAGTTACCAATTTTACTTAATTTTGATCAGATACATTTAAGATTTCAAATGAAATCATGAGCTGAAAATAAGTAGCCATATCATATCTATCTTGGTAACCCACATTTTTTTTTTACTTTCGGTGTTTCAACAAAGAAGGAAAAGTTAGCTTCAATAATGAGAATCTGACAATCCAACATCTCAAAAAAAGTTTGTGATTTTTTTCCCCTACTGATTATAAATGATTATCCTATGAAATAAGGAACTGGAAACTTAAAATCCTCAGCTGAATCATCTTTGCCAATTTCATCTAAACCACAGAAAAAATACTGCTGAATGACTCTTCCCCACTAAAACCAGTTTATACTCTTGAGTTATAAAGAGGTAAAAGTTACTAGTGGCTGTGCACTGCCAGCTAGCAAGAAGTCAATTATTTAATCCTTGAATGAAGTTTCTTTCTCTCTGGGCAAAATCTCTGGGCAAACCATCAATGTGTATTTGTTATTACAATATACTTGCATTGCAATTCACAACTTACAAAGTGTGTTCCTCCTTACCTCATCTGATCAGTAACCTTGTAAGAGTCAAGGAGGAAATTCTCTTTTTTTTTCAAAAATAAAATTCAAATAGATGTTAAATAATTCGTCTAGGGTCATAGCTGGCAAGTGTTAATGGAAGAGATTCATACTCTCCCTCTCAGAAACATCTTCTAAGAATTCATTTTTAACAATTCAAAGATGTCTATCTATCCTCTCTTCTTGATTGCCTTTCCTCAAATGACATCAGAGAAACAGTATCTTTTCTTGGGGACAAGTGAGTACCAACCGTTTGGAAATTTTATGACGTTAGTAACAGCAAATGACTTTTTAAAGGAGAACATTCACGCTAGAGGAAGACAGAGACGGAAAGAACTATGCTTAAAACTTCATTAGTATCTAACAGTACATCAAATCATTGCTTCACCAGACCAAAATCTGCCTGCAACTTCTCCAGATTCTCATATTTTATTTCCCAAAGCGTTTGAAAATAATTTTTCTGAAATCGTTATGTAAAACAACCACCACCACCAAAAAAAAAGTATGTATATATTGTTGTTAGGTGCCTTCCAGTTGGTTCTGACTCAGCGACCCTACGTACAACAGAACAAAACACTGCCGGGTCCTGTCATCTCCACAATCTTTGCTGTGTTTGAGCCCATTGTTGCAGCCACTGTGTCAATCCATCTTGTTGAGGGTCTTCCTCTTTTTTGCTGACCCTCTGCTTTACCAATGTGTATATATAATATCCCAGTAATAGTGGGAAACTCAATACATGGCATTTCTATAAAGATACAGGTGTTAGTAAGGGGGAAAAAACACTCTAAAAGGTAGACTTTAGAATTACTGATGAGATGATTTAAAATACACCATTTAGATCAAGACTCAGAAACTAAAGAATTGGGGGTAGGTGTGTTTTCCTTGTCTCTACTCCTCACCCATCCAATATAACTAATTCTTCAAAAAAATGGAAAGATAACCTACAAGTTTTTCCTTCTCTGTCTTCCTCTAGCATGAATATTCTCCTTTAAAAAGTCATTTGCTGTTGTTAAAGTCATAAATAAAATTTCCATACACTTGATACTCACTTGTCCCCCAGGTATAGGTATAATATATATACCTATATGTACTGTAGGTGTATATAAATATAGGTATAATTAATTAGGGTAGCTAAAAAAATAGATGAAGAGATCTTACAAGAAACTAAAACCAATATTTTTAAATGCAAAAGCATGTAGTTAAAGGCAATAACATAAATTAGTTATAAAAAGCATTCATGTATTTCCTCAACTATTATAAATTCAGAATCGTTATGAGATCACTTAATGACCATAGCTTTATTCCAGGTTTAAAATGAAATACTGAAAGAGCATTGCTTCTTCTAGTCCTACCTTCATTTAATACTCTATAGGTGACCTCTTTCAATATTCTGAGTTGCTTTTAGCCTAAACTTCTGAGATATACCCAGAAAAGGAATGCTAAAATTAACAAAATCCCCACACCCCTGATGGAATAACCTGTGCATATTTCTAACAGTCTGTCAAACTTAAAGGGTAAAGACTTTCTTACAAGTCTATACTCTTAGGGTACAAGACATAGCCTACAGTTTCAACAATGCGTGTGGGATAAAGGTAGAAAGGAGGAAAAAGAAAAGGCTGAGGTAGATCCTTAAAGACAGAATTTATTAATAAACTCATATTGAGAAGAGTAATCTAAGTAACCTTATATAGAGACATAAGAGGCCTAAAGTTTTGAAGTCAAAGGGAAAAAGATCCTCCCTTTCTTTTATGGGATATTGTTGTTGCTGTTAGGTGCCATCAAGTTGGCTCTTGGCTCCAACACATAGCAACCCTATGTAGGACTGAATGAAACATTACCCTGGTCCTATGCCATCCCCACAACAGTAGATAAATTTGAGACCATTGTTGCAGACACTGTCAATCCATCTCATTGAGGGTCTTCCTTTTTTTCGCTGACCCTGTTTTACCAAGCATGATGTACTTCTCCAAGGATTGGTCCCTTGTGATAACATGTCCAAAGTAAATGAGACAAAGTCTTGTCATCCTTGCTTCTAAGGAGCGTTCTGCTGTACTTCCTCCAACACAGGTTTGTTTGTTCTTCTGGCAGTACATGCATGTATATTCAATATTCTTTGCCAACATAATTTAAATGCATTACTTCTTCAGCTTTTTTCATTGTCCAGCTTTAGCATTCATATGAGGCGACTGAAAATATCATGGCTTGGGTGAGCCATACTTTAATCATCAAAGTGACATCTTTGCTTACGGGACGTTGATTGTCTCATTTCCTACTTTTTTCTCCCCATGTGTCTCCTAACCTGCCTTTCTCTTTTTCACCTTGTCTGTGTCTCACTGGGGATTTTTCTGCTTCTCCTTGCCCTCATAAATCTTCCTCTCTGAATTTATAATAGTTAAGGAAATACATGAAAGCTTTTTATAACTAATTTATGTTATTGCCTTCAACTACATGCTTCTGATTCTCAAAAGCTTCAACATGATAGTAGAAAGAATGAAGTGAATCGGAGAATAACTGTTGAGTGTCAGCTCTGCCACTATCTTTTTGACCACGGGCTAAACAACAACAAAAAAACCCTGCCACATTAGGAACCCTAAAATGTTCTTATTTAAAATTTAGACTTAAAATTAACTTACTGTAGAACAGTACACTATAATTTACATAGAATAGGTAGCTTTATGATTTTTCTACATTTTAAAGCAAGTAAAAAATTAAAGTGAATGAGGTTACTCAGTTAGTCAAATTTCCCTATAAGTTGATCTAGTCAAATCAGGATATTAACACATTGCATTTATTTGAACTGCATCTTTTAATATAAAGGTTCTCCCTCCTTTTCCTTGCAACTCCTTGAACAAGTATGTCCCATAGAACTGCCCACATTCTGTATTTTATTGATCGCATCCCCACAGTGTCCTTTAACATGTTCCTTTGCACTCTGTATTTTTGATTAACGGATAGATCTAGGGGCTTGATCAGATTCAGGTTCTATTTTTTTGGCAAGACACTTCGTAGGTAGTGCTGGGTACTCTCCATTGTGTGGTATCAGAAGGCACATCATTGGGGTAAGATCATCCAGTTGGTACCGGTGTTGCTACCCTGATCCATCCATAGAAAGTTACTCACCAGCTTTTCACCTAACAGTTTCAGCAGTCACTGATCATTGCCGAGATTCATCAATTCATTAGAAATTGCAAAACAGTGAAGTCTAATGCTCCTGCATTTATTAATCGAAGTAATCCTACAAAAAAAAAAAAAAACTTGCCCTCATCAATTATTTGGTCATCTCGAGGTAAGGCAGAATAAATGCTTCTTTCCCTTCAATTTACTGGTTTTCGGAGTAATTACTTAACATCCTTCCAAAGGTGACCGAGTTGGGTTTTTTTTGACCATTCTTTTTAGTACCATTCTGAATGCACAGATTTACATAGTTAATGTGTTTCCACCCATTTCAGTTGTTATACTTATTGATCTAATTGTTTCATCTATATAGATAGTGGGAACCTCTTCAGTCGGATTCTGAGAAAATACCAGAGTGGTATTTGAGAACTTTCCTGTTTTGGTGATACTGAGGGATTGCTGTTAACTTTTTAGATGTAAAATGTTATTGTGGTTTTGTTGGGGAGAAAAATGCCCAGTATGTACATATGAATTGAATGACGTGATGTCTCATATTTGCTTCAAAATAAAACAGAAATAAGTAGGTAGGAGTATAGACGAAACAAGTTTGGTGACATCTTGCTGACTTTTGAAGTTGGAATTATACTATTGTTCATTAATCTCATATGTATCTGAAAACTTTAATAATGAATTTTTTAAAAATCCCCCTTTTAACAGTCAAAGCTCCAAAAAAGCTAGTACAGAAAACCACACCAAAACATGCACACCACAACCCCAGTTCACACCCAACCAGATACCAGTTGCCCATGTGAGTCAGAGTAGAACTGTGCTCCACAGGGTTTTCAATGAATTTTTGGAAGTAGCTTGCCAGGTCCTTCTTTCTGAGGTGCTTCTGGATGGATCTGAACCTCCAACCTTTCAGTTAGCAGCCAAGTGCATTATTCATTTGTACCACCCAGGGACTCCATCCAACCAGATAAAAAAAACAAAACCTGTTGCCATCGAGTCGACTCTGACTCATTGTGACCCTACAGGACAGAGTAGAACTGCCCCATAAGGTTTCCAAGGAGTGCTTCGTGGATTTGAACTGCCCACCTTTCAGTTAAGCAGCTATAGCTCTTAACCACTATGCCACCAGGGTTTCTATCCAGCCAGAGAGTTCCCCAAAATTATAACAAAATACATGCAGAAGGCGGATGAAAAAACAAACTTATCTACAACCTCACTTTCCACTTAATAAAAATTGGGGTATTTGCATTAAGAGATAGTCTGAAAAGTGTGGTTCTTAAAGTATTCTTTATTAATCATTAAAAGTTGTAGAAACAACTTTGTATTATAAAGGCACAGGGAGACAGTTTTGATAAAGTATTCAAATTAAACAGTAACTTACAGTACAAAAGACAATTTTAATGCACATACAAACCCCAAATGTCTGATTCAAAAATATTTTACTGTGTCTATTAATGGGCAATGATTAAAAATATAAATTGCTGCTGTATAATAAATATCTGAAAGTGAACATCTTGATAGCAAAGTGAACAAAATATTTATTGCTTTTCACATACATATTATTCCCTGTAATTTTTAACTCCTAATTCTTTTACTATCTTCTCCTCAACCTTTTCCAAAAGTAAATCCCACACATCAGTCTCATGGGGGGAAACGGTAGTTATAAAAACCACCTCAAGCAGCAATCACTGCGGGCAGTGTTTTCTCACTTCCTGTTTTGCAATCAAAATCACACTTGCAAAAAATAAGATAAATGTTTGCTAAACCACAGACCGACAACCCCTCTGTGAATAGCATTCTAAAGTGTGTAATGAATATTTATCAAAATATAAAAGGTGCTCTGTTTGGAGAATGTATTATTTGAAGTTTTGAGTAAGAGGCGTATGTTGACAAGTACTTTAACCGACTCCCCTCAAAAGTTTTCCAAAGTTGTAAAAAGTCAGCTTAATAAAATTTCCAGCACTTACACATTCATTGATGGGAAGACGGTATATGCAATATACTGATATATAAAAGTCAACATAATGCAGTCCATTTTATAACGGAGAGCTCTTACCCTTTTCCCTCCCGTTTTCAAACTGGGATTAACTTTATTGATTTCAGCCTGCTCTTCTGTGGAGCAACCTCCTAGATGGTACAAGTAGAATTTCCATCACAATAGTACAATAATGTGAATGCATCATCCTAATTGAAACAATGCTACTTCAACTTAAGAAATACGTAAAGTATTTGATAATTATTGTAGTCACTTAACTGTATGTCATGTTCAGACAGTGTGTAGCAGCTAGTAATGTACCTGGCACACAGCTGATGCTCAATAAATAGTTGCTGAATGAATGAAAAAGAAAAGAAAAACTTGGCTTTGGTTGTACATATTTTAATCACTTTCTGATTTAGAATAAAGTCAGTCTAGAACTAAACACTGCACACTGCACCCAAATCTGCTGTAAACAAAAGTAGTTGAAACAGAGAAACCTTACCTACATTAATAATAGGCAGCTTGTACTGTAACATTTCTGAAATAGCCCACAGATTTCACATCCATGGTAATTTTTATCCACACATTTAAATTTGATGTTTTGATGTTTAGATTGACAACTGAATGAAGACCAAGGTGGGCAGACTGGCTACAATGTCTACTTTATAAGAAAAATTATTAATTCATCAATAATGAAAAGGTTACGATGCCTGATTAAACTCAAATGGTGGTTACCATGCTAATCTGGCAAAACTGCTAATGAATAAAAGGAAGGCTATTCTTCAGTTACATATTCTTGAAAACAGTAGCTTAACTTTTCAACATTAAAGAGTAACTGGGGAGATCTGACTTTAATAATGAAAGCATTAAAATAAAAGGACTGGAAATGGAATGGTAAGATTAAGCAGGTGACCAATTCTATTTTGAAATCTAGCTGTGGGACTAGGTTTAACATTTCTTTGGCATATGTATTACTATCTTGCACTAGTTAGCATTTTAAAAATACTGGGTTGTATTTTTTTCTGAACCAAAATTAACATCAAGGTGTAGATTGCTAGTATGCTCTTCTTAAAAGTTTTAGGTGAAGGACAAAACAACAATTCTGCAACATATGCCGAACTTCATGTTTACTGTACAATTATAATCACTGGCATAGAAGGATGTAACTGTTAAATATCCTGAAATAATCTCATGCAATGGTGAAACTAGAGAGGCTGGGGGGTGAGGGAGGAAGGAAGTATTTACATAATAAAATATTCAGCTTTCAGAAAAAGAGACAGTAAACCTGGGAATCCTGCCCTAACGGTAAATATATACCACATAGTACTGAAGAAAAACTAGTCAAAACTTAAATGAACACCAACAATAACCTGAATGTGTAAAATTTTAATAAAAAACATAAAAATGGAAAAAAACCCTTTACATCAGAAGGAAAAAGTAGCCTATAAAACAGGCCGATCTAACTTGACATTCAACGTAAATGTTTAAGAGATTCACAAAATCATGAGACTAATGCAAGCTATGTCAAGTACCATGTACCCTTTGATACACAAGCCAATGTAACTATCAGACTCATTTCCAATAGCTTAACAATATTCATTAATCCACTCAGGCATTCAGGGGGGCGAAGCAGTCAATGACGGCTCAAGTCTCCAAAGTGTAAGAACATATTTATTTGCAGAAGCATCACGTAATTTCTGAAGTCATGTCTTACTTTGATGGATGTTAACATGAGTGCTATCGGTGCAAGTTTATCATCCTCTGAACGTTAATACCTCCAAATTTTGTTTTCCAGAGAGTTTTTGGTGGATTAGTTTTAGCCAGTGCCATTAAAATGGAGAAAGAAAAAGGAGAAAGTTCACCATAGACTACCTCACGTTGTTACTTAATTGTGCTAGATATTCTCGCAGTTCTTTTGCAGCCTGGAATCTGCCGTAGCGCTTCTTTGGGTTGGCACACTCATCCAGCAAGGCCTCTAGGCGGCCGTCTTTGGCAATTTCACCTGGAGGATCATGAAGCAGTCCTCCAGAAGTGCCACGCCAGGTGGCGTGTCTGGATAAGAGGTTCTGACAGACAGCATAATAATTGTGGTCCACAGTGGCACGAGCACAAAGAACTTCTTTTGAAAATGATAAGCAAGCCTCCTTATCACAGTCATCAAATTTGCTTTCATACCATACATCCCAGTTTTCAGGTTTATCTGTGGAAGGGGGAAAAATAGAAAAAGAAAAACACATTTTAAAATGGAGTTTTCATTTCTTCCAAAAATATAACATTTCACTAATGAACATAATAGTATCTGCTCTTAGAATTGTATTATTATTTTAGACATCTAAGTATATTAATTCACGTAAACATTTACTGGGTGCCCACCAGTACCAGGCAGAAGAGCCAGATGTGACCTCTACTGCTGAAGGATTCCATCTAGCAGAGACTTCAATTATCCATGGCAAGTGCCACGCAGAGCTATGATACATACTACAGGGTACAGAGGAAGCAGCACCTCTGCCTGGGGCTACAGAAGGCTGCACAGAGAAGAACATCTGATTTAGGTCTTAAAAGATTAGCAAGCCTGGAAAGAAATGGGGAGGTGGGGGGAAACGGCATCCTAGGCCCAGACTATAGTGTGTGCAAAGGCATGGACTAAGGGATTGATCCAGCTGGTTCACGAAACCAAGAGAAGTTCCCTGTGGCTGGAATGTGAAGCAGGTACCTGGAGAGGACTTACAGATGAGGCGACAGAAACAGGCTGTATCTTGTGTGGTCATGACCATGATTTGTTTTACAGAAAAATCTCTCTGGGCTGAGGACTGCAGGGACTAAGATGATAAGGGCAATTAAGGAAGAACCAGGAAGAAAAGCCAGAGCTGAGAAACATTTGAGGGAAAAAATTCACAGGTGAGTGTCTGATTAACGTTTAAGCTTCTAATTAGATGATCAAGTAGACACTATTAAAAGTGATGTGGTTTAGCAGGTGAGGAGGTGGGGCGGGGGATTAAAGCAAGTAAATATGAAGTAGGTATGAGGTGTTCTGGTGGACATGTCATACATGCAACTAGAAATACAGACTTAGAACTTAGACTCGGAGGTCAGAGGTACAGTACACGTGTTTTTAGAACCCATCAGCATTATGTGTGCTTGATGAAACCATGGGAATGAATAAACTTGTACAGGAGTGTGTTGAAAGCAAAGGAAAAAATAAAAGGACTGAGGGTAGAACCTTGAGATTTAAGTGGCTGGCAGAGGAAAGGCCAGTGAAAGAAACAGAAGAAACTCAGGCAGAGGGCACTGCATCTGGGAAAGCGCAGAGGTGGGAAGGTTCATTTAAGAAACCAAAAGGCCGAAGCATCAAGGGCAATAAACAGAGGGCATTAAAAGACAAAGCAGAATAAGGTCAAGTCGCAGGGATTATGCCATGGTAAGGAGCTTGGATATGACTTGAAGAACAAAGGGGAGTCATTAAAGACATTAAGCAGGAGAGTGACAAGACCAGACTTCTGTATTTAAAAAGAAATGATGCAAGTAGTTAGAGGAAGTCAAAGGAAGAAAGAATTTCACGAAGTTGTTACTCTCCAGAGACACATCACAAATTTGCCAATTAGGTGGTTACTGATAGCAAGACAGACATCTAGGTCAGGCTTTACTGGGTTGAGGAATGAACGGAGGTTCAGCAAACAGAGGCAGGCAGAGTAAGCAATACTTTCAAAACAGTTGAGAGACAAAGGAAGGCAGAAGATGTAACAGTAATTTCTAGTTGTAGTTGGATATTGTTTTTGCTGGATATTATTTTTGTTTTTAAAGCAGGAATGGGTCTTATATACTTGTTTATGGGTGTCTATGGTTATTAAGGAGCCCTGGGGTCACAGCAGTTAAGAGCTCAGCTGCTAACCAAAAGGTAGGCAGTTCCTTGGAAACCCTATGGGGCAGTTCTACTCTGTCCTACACGGTTGCTATGAGTAGGAATCCACTTGACAGCAAGGGGTTTAGTTATTAAGGGGGGTAGTTCAAGAAGGCACCTGGTGCAACAAGTTTTCAAAGAAGGATCTAGTATGTCTGAAGATGAGGGAAGGGCAAATGGGTGTTCCTTTAACTAGGTTTAGATGATAAAGGGAAGGACATGAAGAGACTGTCCACAGCAAAACCTCAATTTCCTTGTGAAGAAAAAATAAAGGTCATTGACTGGAAAAAGTGTTCACTCCCTATGGAAGGATCTACATGACAAGTCAAGAAATAATTAGAAAGGTGTCTGTTGAGTGTGGAATCAAAACAAGAGATTGGGGAAAATCAAGTATTTAACAGGCTCATGCTAAGATAATACAAAAATTAAGGGTCAACCTAATATATTGTCACACTCACTGCATCCTGCAGGTGCCACAAATCTTTGGTCTCTATTCATCAAAAATCCTCTTACGAAGGAGAGAGAAGGGGAGGGGAGGGGTGCAAAAATAAAAGACCTTCACCATGAGGCAAGAACCCTTTGGTTTCCTTTTCTGACTGGACTGGTTACAGAATTAGAGGCTCCGTCCCTGACATTTTAAAATTCCTACGGCATTTAATTTTCAGAACACTTCAGACACTCTGTCCACCTATCCTGTGAAGATCAAGGTTTCGGGTGAGATGTAATAATCAGAATGTCAAACCTAAGTCAGATCTGCAGTGCTAGGAATTATCCAAATGGTCATAAACAAAAGCAAGCCCATCACTGGAACGACTGACTACAAGAGGCCCCACAGAGTAATACAAGAAGGGCTCCATGAGGGCAGTACAGTCTCTCTGGCAGGCTTTAACTATGTACACTGGATTCTGTCTTAGACTCCTAAACCACAGAATATACAGCACACCATATGTTAAAGATGTGTGTACACACACACACATACACAGTATATTCCTGTCCATTAGAACATTAAAGGATGTTTTACTAAATACAGAGAAACAATGTTGACAAAGAGTACAATATTTGTTTACTGATACTGGTCAAACAAAGCAAAGGACTAAAAGCTGCCAAAATTATTTAAGAAGGAAATTAAATGCTTGCTTCATATGACTGTAAACATTATTTTGAGAGGGAAAAACGAGTACCAGAAAAAAAAAATCGAAGTTATATACTTACTTTGTCTAATTAATCGTTTGTCAGCAACCAAAACATTTTCAGCATCCACAATGATTACTTTCCCATCTCTAGGACCAACTGCAAAATTGTCAAAGCTGACATCCAGGAGGTAGAGTGCAAATTCAAAGTCATTGTTTGTAAGCTGCTCTGCTATTTCCATTAGTTGCCAAGCAAGGTCAACTCGTTTTTCCCATGGTGCATTAAAATAACTCCACAGTTCTTCTCCAACATAATTTACAGCCACCATTCTTCCACAAGCTCCAAGATATTTTGCAAATGGCCAACCTTCATCAGACGGAAAACTCTACAAAAGAATTATTTTAATATTATAAGAAATTCTGAATAAGATATCCTAACCCTATCCCCCAGATCATCTCAGTAGAGATTTCTACCAGGAATGACCTCCGATTTTCTTTTTGTATTCAATAATTTGTTAAACTTCTTCTTCTTCGCTTTTTTTCCTAACTCATATCACTACTATGGACCTGAAAAAATTTTAAATAGAGAACTTTACATTGGAAAGCTAAAATAGGATCTGAGAAGTCTTGTTTATCAAAATCTCAGGACCAAACTGATGAATAAGAGACAAAACACTTTCTTAATTACCAAATCTAAAAGTCTTTATGCTTTCCTTCATCTTCTTGAGTTCAACGAATTCTTCTTGACAATCAACCAACACTACGAGCCTATCGACAAGCAAATATTTACAGGGCACCAGGCGTTGTGCTAAGCTAGCAATACAGTGAACTAAACGAGGGTCTCTGGGGTCACAGGACTTTTATTTTAGAATAGAAG